CACAAGAAGGTGGCCAGGACCATCGGCATCTCGGTGGACCCGCGGAGGCGCAACAAGTCCACCGAGTCCCTGCAGGCCAACGTGCAGCGGCTCAAGGAGTACCGCTCCAAGCTGATCCTCTTCCCCAGGAAGCCCGCCGCCCCCAAGAAGGGGGACAGCTCTGTGAGTGGCCGGGGAAGTGGCGGGGCCTCGCACTGGGGGTGGCCTCCTGCCCGGGAAGGTCAAGTGGGAGAGCTGAGCCCAGCCTGCTGTCTCGGGGGCGTGCCGGGAGCCGAGTCCCTGACCCTCTTCTCTTGGACACAGGCCGAAGAACTGAAGTTGGCCACGCAGCTGACGGGACCGGTCATGCGCATTCGGAACGTAAGCCCGGGCGGGTCTGCCCACCCCTGCGCCGGGCTCCCCCGGCCTCGGCAGGGACTGACCCCGTGTTCCCACAGGTGTACAGGAAAGAGAAGGCCCGGCCCATCACGGACGAGGAGAAGAACTTCAAGGCCTTCGCCAGCCTCCGCATGGCCCGTGCCAACGCGCGGCTCTTCGGCATCCGGGCGAAGAGGGCCAAGGAGGCCGCAGAGCAGGACGTCGAAAAGAAAAAATAAATTGTACATTGTCCTTGGTGCCATGAGCCGAGTGTCTGCAGCAGGGCCAGGCGGGGGGCTGCCCCCCGTTTCCCACTGGGCACTAGCCCTCCCCGGCCCCCCACCAGGAGGCGGCAGCACCTCAGCCTGGGGCAGGGCCCTTGGTTTCCTGTCTCCACCTCCCAGGAGGTCGCATTGCTTCGCCAGGAGTTGGAGCAGGTTAATTTATTGTTCACTTTGTTTAATCGTTGCAGGGTGTAGTTTTCCTGTTTTGGTCACGTTGGACTTTGATTCTGAGGAAAGGTGCCCTCAGGATTGGGGAGTCGCCGCCACAAGCTCTATTTACACAGACCTATTTATACACAAGCTGGGCTGCAGGCCAGGGGTGGGGTGGCGGGGGCGAGAGGATTCCTCAGACGGTGGGGAGCAGAGAGAGCGGGCAGGTCCACTGCTGAGAGCAGTGGGGGACAGGAGGGGCTCTTGCAGCTGCGGGGCGCTCCCTGGCGGGTCGCACTCGGGCTGCAGCAGCTGCAGTTCCGTGTTGGGGAGACTTGGGCCCTGTGCCCCCAGGGCGCTCCCCTTTTGTGCTTCCAAAGGACAAGGTTTTAGGCAAAGGGCAAAGAGAAGGCACCCCCAGTCACAGGTGCGCGGGAGGTCCCTGTTCCCGCTGCAGCGAAGGGACGTGGGGCTGGAGGCAGAGCCTGGTCTGCAGCAGGAGCCTGGCGCGCCCACTCGTGGCTGCTCCGTGTTCTGAGGAAAGTCGCCCCTGCCCAGTGTCTCCGAGCGTCACTGCTCTGGGCTTCAGCCTGGCTGGGGGTGGTGGGTGTGCAGGGCACCTCCCCAGGGCTGCATCAGGGCGCAGGAGGCCTTTCCAGCCGCAAAGGTGCTCCAGGCCTCCCCGGGAAGGCTCCCCCCTCACGCACAGCTGCACCCCCAGCTCCCTGCTAGGGCCGGTTTACAGAGGGGTCCTCCCTGCCCTGGGCAGCCCAGAAGGGGCTACGCGCCTGGGAGGGAGGGGAAGCAGGGATGGCCCGCGACAGGTGGGGGAGCTCCCGGGCCCTCCCCCCACCAGCTGAGGGGCTGTGGGCCTGTCCCTGGCCAGCCGCAGCATCCGCGCCTGCTCGCAGGGCAGCAGGGTCCAGGTTGCAGGCCAACGAGGCGGGGACCTGTGTCGGGCGGCCCCTCCCGCCTGCAGTCCCAGAGGCCGCGGGGAAGAAGCCCTAGGGGTCACGGACGTGAGTCCAGGCGCGACTTGCAGGCTGAGAGCTCCCTTTACCGCCCGCCCTCGCCACCCCCTCACGCTGCACGACCCTGCCTGACCCAGCCCCATGGGGGCCCCACCTCCCAGCGCCAGGGGCGCAGAGCCCGTGGGGAGCAGGGCAGGCTGGGCCCAGACTCGGGCGGAGGCTTTGTGCCTTGCGGGAGGGCCAGGAGGGCCGCGCAGGGCGGGCGGTGCCGCGGGCTGGCGCTGCTTATCCGCATTTTCCTGGCTTTTCCTCAGCCAGGAACATGTGTCACTTTCCTGTCTAACAAAGCAAGTTGTGTGGGGGTCTCGTTTCCTGCCAGCGGGCCTGTCTTGGCTGGGACGCTGAGGTGCGAGGCCGGGAGGGCGCCTCGGGCACCAGGACCTGGCCAGGAGAAATGGCCGAGCTGTGCACACCGGGCCTGGGGAGCTGCGCCCCGAGGCCGGGGCGCCTTGTGGACACTGGGTCCCGGGGCTGCCCGAGCCCCGCTGGGCGCCAGGGGCGGGTGCTGGCTGGAGGAGGGGGTCGGTGGAGCCCGGCCCAGGACGCCCACGCCGAGCGGCCGCGCACCCTGCTGCCCGCCTCCGGGTGGCCCTCTGTCCTGGCTCCTGGCCAGGTCTGTGCTATTTTTAGGCAGAAATGGGCAGAGAATGGGCTGGAAGGTGGTTTCTGTGTCCCGGAACACGCCTCTTCCGCTCTGCGAGCCGCCCAGAGCCAGGTGGGGCAGCTGCCCACCCCTCGGACAGAGCCACCCTCGGCCCGGACACCTCGGGACGGCCAGGGCCCTCCCTGGCCCGCGATAGGAAGCGACAGCGAGTTTTACCTGTCTCCAGGGGCCAGAGCCCGGCTGAAGTGGCAGAAACGCGGGGCCAGCGGGTGGTGGAGGTATTTAGCGCTGAAATTAGGGCTTCGTGGCCCCCTG